CAACGTAGTCTTGCCCCAAGTGGTGATGGCGGCAGCTCCAGTGGTCCTGCCCCCAAGTGGCTGCAGTGGCTTCTACGGTCCAGCCCCCAAGCGGCGACGGTGGCGGCTCCTACGGCACCTCGAGCAGCAACATGTGCAATCAAATAGTGAGTCACATGTCAAATTTTAGCCCAAATTCTATAAGTTTTTTTATTTTTCCCCTAATATTTTTTAAAACTGCTAAATACCTTAGTTGTAGCTATAACCCGCTATAGCCGCTCTTAGCTGTTGGAGAGCACAACCGTTAAGAGGCTTAGCCGGAGATTTAGAACATTGGTGATTAGGCTAGCCAAAAAGTTTTATCGAACTCAGCGTTAATGTGGTGCTTCAAACTTTAACATCTACTTATTTGTATGGCATAAAATTTTATACATGATTTTCATTTAAATCTTTGTAATTTCTGAGAAACTCCATTAAGAATCATCCCATTCAAATGAGATTCGGTTCACTGTCACGGTTTGCCACGCCACATGTTACGTGCGCTACCCTTTGTTATGCTAGCGTTTGGTTGAACTTGCCTAACAAACACTAGCCACAATTCAGTTAATTGTTGGCTCACATATTATATGCTAACTAGGTGAAACCCCGCGCGTAGCTGTGGGAGATTGATATGATAATGGCATGGTTCCAATTTTCCCTAATAAAAAATAGAAATAATGTGTAAGATAGCTAGATGATAGAAACTTGCATAAGTTGATGTAGTTTATCATAATTTAAACAGTATATAGAATGATGACCCAAATTTAAAAGTAATATGATGTGGCTTTATAAGAGAAGAAAATGTGAGAGATAATTCCAACCATAGATTAATCATTTGAGGGATAGAAGCAATTGAGGTGATATGGCTTAATGAGAGAAGAGAGAAATAACATTAACTAAATAAGAATAAATTGTATAGGTATATAGATATTATACAAAATGATGGAGAGATATATTGAAATATTTTGAGAATTATGTGGAATGATGATTTAACATGCTTGGATTTTTTAAAGCTATAAAATTTAAGTGAGGATGAACTATAGGCATATAGGATATTATAAAAGGTGATGGAGAGATATATTAAAATATTATGTGAATTATGTGGGATGATAATTTAATTCACATGCTTGCATTTTAAAGCTCTAAAAATTAATAAATTAGCATGCTTGCATGAGATTTGAGATGTAGTAAATGTTAGTGGATGATGTTGCATCTTTACATATTGAGCCTTAGGATGTAGTAGGCTAACTTTATAGAAAGATAGGATTTTGTAGCTAAATTTTGCTACACCTATGAATAATTTGTTGCCACACTTTTGACAAATTAACTTGTGGTAAAGTTAGCGTTCGAACAATTAGATCTTAAATTTATCCTTAAAATTATTATACCTCCTTGAGCCCCATTGGTTACCCTAATAAGCCAAAAAAATATATCAAAGTTTGAATTTTTAAATTTAATTTTGAAGTGGATTTTAAGATATTTTCAACGTATTTTTTTACATTGACTTTTAAGTGATAATAACACATATATAAAAGTTTTACCTGTAAATTAATTTTTATTCCCTAATTAGTCATGTTGACTTATTAGAGAATATGAGCAACCAATGAGAACTTAAATCTCACCTAACCTATTTTTTGCCTAATTTTGCATAAGTGCATACTACCTGTAACACACTTGGTTATAACTGGTACTTTTCGGATGGTTTACCACAGTCCACATACTTGGACAATGGCAAGATAATACTCAAACCAAATATGAATGTCGATCTCTAATATCCTTCGATCACTTAATGAAACATTCGGGGTTATGATAGTTTGACCATAGCTTACAGTACTCCAGATAGATAGCTTACGTGTGCTCTTGCTTTTGAACCGTGTCTCAATATGACACGTACACTAGATAAACGATCTTGGAAAGTGAATGTGGTACTCTCGCTCATCTCTCACGTACGTTTTCTTGGACGATTACTCCCGCTAGCTAGGCTACATGCCTACTCCACCTGATGGCTCAGCTGACCTGCGCTAAATTTGTCATCCACAAATTTATCAGCCGTGCGAAACATTGACATGCAATTGCAACCCCGTCTAGGAACATAGAAAAGTGAACGATCGATGAAAGGCCCCGTCCCGACCGAAGAAGAAAAGAGACTCCGCATTCCACGTCAAAAATTTAACAAGCCATCCAATTCACGCTGCACAGTACACACAACAGCAAAATGCCCCAGCACTTTTTCCATGGCCCCCGTATTATCCAAACAGCCAAAAAAAAACCCAAGCCACAAGCCATGTCGACATTGTCTCTTCGTCCCAGCCTAAACCCATGTCGACCTCTGCACATGAATGCGCTGCAAACGCAGCGAAAGCGGACTCGCCGTGCGTCCACGGCCACGAGCGAGCGAGCGGAGCCGCCTGCCTGACCTGCCGGTTCAGGCGGATCGCGGCCTCGAGACTCGCGACGCGACAGGAGGCGTGCATGCACCTGCGCCTGCTCGTGATCAGGCCCAGCGCCCAAGAGGCAAACCCGGCGGCGGCGGCGACGAGGAGGCGGCGAGACAGGAGAGGGAGAGGGGATCGGGCGAGCTAGTGGCGCACGGCGGCTCAGCGGTCGCGTCTCGTACGTCGTCGCGCGTCGTCGTCGTCGGCAAATTGAATGCGGAGCTCGTGACCGTGTCGTCTCCCCGGCCCGTTTCGGCCTTTGCCATTGCCACTAGCGCTACTCCCTGTTGCTGCGCCTGCCACAGCAGCGAGCTGTGTCAGCTTGGTGCATGCACTGTACTACTACCAGGCAGTGTACGTGTGGCTGGCGTTGGCTCTCGATCTTTTTTTTCCTCTTCTTATTTAATGATATGATCTCTGAATGATTGGTGCTGTGCTGGGTTCTTTTTTTCCGAAACTAATCCTATTGGCGCTAGCTGGGTGATTGATGCCGTGATGGCCGGGCTGATTTATACTTGAAAAGACGAGGCTTTGCATTGCAATAATCCAAGCCAACTGTACAGTGACACAAGTCTAAACACTGGTCGGATTTTTCACCACGGTCGTCTGCCAAGTTGAGCTGCCTGCCTCACATCACATGCAGAAATTTGCAAAATAGAATGAGTACTGCTATACATCCGACCCTATTATTCAACCCCTATCCGACCCTGTCGTATCTGCAATCAATTTACTTCATATTCCCTCCGTCCCAAAAAAAAGCAAACCGTGGATTCTCGTGCCAATGTTTGACTGTCCGTCTTATATGAATTTTTTTTATAATTAGTATTTTCATTGTTGTTAGATGATAAAACATGATTAATACTTTATGCGTGACTTATTTTTTTAATTTTTTTCATAATTTTTTCAAATAAGACGGACAGTCAAACATTGGACACGGAAACTGGAGTTTGTCTTTTTTTGGGACGGAGGGAGTACGAGCCAGCTACTCTCCATATGGGCTAGAGCAAGGAGCGGGTAAGTACTGGTCGGATGCAAGTCGTACACACCAATCGTATGTAGCAATTTCCAAATAGAATAGGCCAAACGGCGGTGGGCGTAGCTGGAGCCGTACGCTGCTATCTCCAAACTATAATGACCTAAGATTGAATGGAAAATTTTCTAGTACTATGAATCTTGATAGTCTATCTATCCAAGTATCCAAGTTGGTAGTAATAGAAAATGTCTTATCCGATTTTAAGTTCTTATATTTTAGAACGAAAGGACTACAACCGGTTCAACATATTGACGTTGTTAATTAAAGGGATAAGGAGTTGTAAGGGATTATTATTCGATCTCGATCTCTCCCTCCCCGAAGGAACTCGATCATCCACAGCCACAAACGCTGAAACTTACTGAAAGCAACTTGGCGGCCGGCAGGGTTGATGTCTTGATGATGTGATTAGAGGGGCTTTTTGGCAGGAAAAGAGGGGGCTTTTTTCGTGGTCACGAGCGTGCTTTATATCTTAACAAGTTGCTGCTTAGAGAACAGATGCGTGATAGCTAGCCAAGCAATGGTCCACTGGGAATTTGTACTAGTGTACATGTACAGTTGCATGCAGTAATACTACAGCGTTGAGTTGCATACAGTAATACTACAGCGTTGGAGATTAGAAGGATCGTGTCCACAACCTAACAATAGCAACTGTGGTTTGAGGAACAGATCACTAACAGTATCCCATGTCGGCAAAGAATGCAGAATAGCTGACAAACTGATATACTATACGCTTACACAAAAATAACAAGACGAAAAAGAAACAACCTCATAATTTTTTCAGCGGAGGCTTAAAAAAGCCAGAAACTTGATCATTTATCACGACAGGGACACCGCCAATCTGACCGATAATCCTTGCAATAATGACCCAGCACCAACCTAAATCACCCCAGCTTGGTTTATCGCCCCAACTGCAATCCTCCTAAACGTACTTACCACAGAGTCACAGACCAGTCCACCACCAACTACAGTTGCATCATGCACTCGGTTCAAGTTGAAGGAATTTTCCACTACTAGTTCCTCAGTAAGTCATAGCCACCCGAAATAGAAATATCGATCACGTACTAATCTAATCCCTACAGTATGATACTCCCCCTATATTAAAAAAACAATGCAAAAACGTCGATCACAAATTCACAACTAATTTAATCGCTAGAGCGCATTTTACTCCTAGATTAAAGAAACCGATGCAACATGCAAAGTATGCACACCAACACCGAGTACATTGCCAATCTGATTTGATCTGATTTGATTAATTTTGCATGCACGCGAATGGGTGGCCATGCTTAGGCTGCGACCCCTGTGCGCCCTGCACGAGCTACAGCCAGCCATAAGCTTCCATTATTTTTTATCGTGAATCTTACTAATCTACTCCATTCTTCTTGTATCGGCCAGTCGAGTCAGCAGAGATCGAGATCAAAATCTTCGCAGCTGCGCGATCGCGGCAAAAAAAGCCGTTGCGAGTTGCGACTTGCGCAGACTAGTAGTAGTCCACCGCCGCGCGCTCGCGTCCACAAGTTCTTCTCCACCACAAGTTTCGCGCGCTGCTCGCTCGCTTGGTTGGTTGGTTGATTGCTCGCGCCCCGCGCGGTTGCGTGCTCCCTCGCGCCACGGGTTTATATGCGCCACTAGCCGAGCCGCGCTTCTGGATCCCCTTCTTCTGCCGCTCGTTTTCCATTGCCGACGCGCAGCACGCAGCTGCGCAGCCACACCTTTGCGGCTGTCTTATCTTGTTCTTGAGTTGTGTTCTTGGTTGGGGAGGAGGAGGAGGAGATGAAGATCCAGTGCGACGCGTGCGAGAGCGCGGCGGCGGCGGTGGTGTGCTGCGCGGACGAGGCGGCGCTGTGCGCGGCGTGCGACGTGGAGGTGCACGCGGCGAACAAGCTGGCCGGGAAGCACCAGCGGCTGCCGCTGGAGGCGCTCTCGGCGAGGCTCCCGCGCTGCGACGTGTGCCAGGAGAAGGCGGCGTTCATCTTCTGCGTGGAGGACCGCGCGCTCTTCTGCCGCGACTGCGACGAGCCCATCCACGTCCCCGGCACGCTCTCCGGCAACCACCAGCGCTACCTCGCCACCGGCATCCGCGTCGGCTTCGCCTCCGCCTCGCCCTGCGACGGCGGCAGCGACGCCCATGACTCCGACCACCACGCCCCGCCCATGGGCTCCTCCGAGCATCATCACCATCATCAGCAGCCGGCCCCGACCGTCGCCGTCGACACGCCCTCGCCGCAGTTCCTGCCGCAGGGCTGGGCCGTCGACGAGCTCCTCCAGTTCTCCGACTACGAGACCGGCGACAAGGCAAGCACCTACACAAACTGAAACCATCAAACCACCATGCCATGCTTTGGGTTCCCTCTTTCTCAATTCTCATGGCGCAACCACGCCTTGTGATTATACTGCAGCTGCAGAAGGAGTCGTCGCCGCCGCTCGGGTTCCAGGAGCTGGAGTGGTTCGCCGACATCGACCTGTTCCACAACCAGGCGCCCAAGGGCGGCGCCGCCGCCGGCCGGACGACGGCGGAGGTCCCCGAGCTCTTCGCTTCGCAGGCGGCCAACGACGTGGCGTACTACAGGCCGCCGACCAGGACCGCCGCCGCCGCCTTCACCGCGGCCACCGGCTTCCGCCAGAGCAAGAAGGCCCGCGTCGAGCTCCCCGACGACGAGGAGGATTACCTCATCGTCCCTGATCTTGGTTGAATCTTGAAGAGGAGTTCGTTCCAGAGGAGAAGATCCTCCTCCTGTGTTCTTGGGTTTTGCCATGTCCTTGTGTTTTCTGCTTGTATGCTAGCTTTTGTGTTTAACGTTAGTCCTGCTCAACTGTGACATATTTGAGCCACTCTGCTTCCGTCCCATGCCATCAGTGATCAATCTGATATAAGTTTTTCTGAAAATGAGCTCCAGGCTCTGCTCTTATGTTTAATCTTCCGAGATTACCAGTACAGAAAGAGATTACCAGTACAGAAAGAAGACTGAAAGGCAAACACCAGCCTGTATACCGCCTCAAATAAGTTATCAGATTCCATGCTAGATTAACTTATTTTGGAACAGAGGTAATTAGCAAGCACAAGGGAAAATGGGCTGAACATAAATACACTGGCAAACGGCCATGAGATTGATGTAAACAATAGGATTAATCTGGAACTAAAAATACAGAGAACAACGATAAATGGACAGTATAATTTTCCGAACTACTATCCTTTCCCGTTTTACATGAACTCCACCCACACTCTAGAAAAAACTGATAAGGCATTGGAATCCAGAAGCAGCGCAGACATGAAAAGCCCTGCAACCAGATATGCAAACCTACGGCAGCAGATTTCTGAATCGGATAGGGCTCCGAATTGATTTCAACCATGCAAAGCACCTTAAAGTCTACAAAAATATCGCATTGATTCCCCTTCACCATGAGATGCAACTGGGTTCCATCTTGGCAGGAGACATCGGATGATCGCCATTTCTTTTATAGAACCTCCAAAACTGCAGGCAAAACTAATACAACTTCAAGAGTACTGTATAGAAGAGGCTAACAGTCAACTGATTGTATGTGATCTTCAGTTTCATCCTTGAGACATTCGCTAGGTAGCTGAAAACTTAAACAGAACATAGCCTGCAAGAAATATAAAACACAATATATTAGGTGTCACAAGAACTAGCAACAAACATAAAAAAATATCCATTGCTTAGTTACTTTCCCAGATTATGCAGGAAAACTAGAAAAACTATTATTGGTGGCTAACCACAAAGTTCTTAAAGACCATTCACCAAGAGACAGTTTCTGCTAGGAAAATATTATGGGCGGTGGGCCATACATTGTGCTCTCAAACAAATGAAAAAGATTTCTGTATCCTAAGATCAACAAAATAAAGAAATTTGTGCATGTAATCTTGCAGACAATAAACATGAATCTTAGTCTTATTATATGAGACAGAGGATACCTTGTTAGGTGCAACATCACGAACCCTATGGAATATGGGCTCTGCTATCTTCGCATTCAATTTATTTTGTGCTTCCTGAAAGGGGAAATGGGCCATTAAAACAAACTGGAAATGCCTCGCAAAATATATAAGAGCATATAAAAGCGATTTATCTCATGTTGAGAAACAGCCAAAGAGGTATGGACTTACGGATAATATCAATTCTTCAGATTCACTTGAACGGATGAAACAATAACAGTGGATCCAAGGTAATGGTCCGGTCCAGTATTTCTTTTGGACAAGACCACTGAAACAATCTGCACAGCAGATCTACAATTATGGACTAGAACAAAGACTCAAAGAGAAACTGTAACAGTTCAATACTTAGTAACATGAGAATCAAATGCATCAAACAAATACAAGAGTGCAACTACATGTTTGGAACTTACAGACACATGTTATGGCTATGAATGAGCCAGGCCCACGTGGCAAGTTATGCAGAGTTTATAAAAATTAAAACACAAACGAAAGGTACTTTATGTAGAAAAGAGAACTCCCCCATCAGCAGACAAATCTTGAATTGCCAGTGGATTGAAATGAATGATGTATTTTGACACAGAACAATGACCTTGAAGGCGAAAGTGAATGTCATGTTGACAAACAAATACAGGCATGCAAAATTTTGCAATTCAAATTGGTCGTTTGAAAATTTGGAGAAAGAGGTTTCAGATCAGTGGAAGAATGTGGGCCTAAATTGGTGAAATAGCATTCCCCATCATATAACAAATTCAAAACCAACAGAGGGTCTGAGAAGAACATATAGTCATGGTCTCATGGATGAACTAGAGATTGATACTGCACGTACTTAGGCCACAAAATGTCGTATAAATGCCACAAAATTAGCATTCCATGCAGACTGTAGAAATCCTAGGAACAAACTTGGCAACTTGCAATACATGCATCCAAGTATGATACTTATCCACAGTTACTTATTCCATTGAATCTGGAATGGTCTTCACAATTCACAAGAAAAGAAACCTTCCCGCTTCAACAGTATTCCGCCACTGCATGGTTTATGAATGTCTGCTTTCTAAGAAAATTTCACCTCTATTTGTGTGGCTTTTCATAGGATGGTCATTTTTGTTACAAATTTAAAATTCAAAGATAATTATTTGTGCATGACAGATCCCATATGCTTATGCCCTGCTGTCACTTGCCTAGTGCCTACAATTGCCTATCATTGGTTAATCTAAATCATTTTAGTATTGCAGAAATTTATTGCAAACAGATGAAGGATCTGTGGTTAAGTTTTGGACTTCATTGAGCAATCAAAATGTATCTGTGAAGAAGATTCAGTTCTAGTGTTTTTAGCAAAAGAACAAAAAGGACAACACTGCTGTCTTGAGTATAGAAATGTTATCAATGGTCTACTACTAACATGGCTTGTGAGCATGTCATGTAACCCAACAAATTGCCCAGCACATAATGTGATCATTAGAATGTAACAGAAAAGCTTGATGGAGAGGATAAAAGTACAAAAACATTACCAAGAAACTGCAGAGCAGAAGCAGGTAAATTCATTACGACATGGTCAAAGTGTTCCCATGGCTTGACAGGTGGTGGTCCTGAGCCTTTTACTCTTTTGTTGTTCCTCTTCTTTGTATGACTAGCATCTTCTTGGCAGTACCCATCACCTATAGGAGAGGTAAAAGTGTAACTCTACTACAAGTAACATAATAGGTAAAATCTTCATGCTTATCACAGTTGTTATTAACTTAGTAGATTGACAGACATAGGAGTTGCAAGATTCCTAAAGACATAATAAATGACGTAATTACCTCCATTTGAGCTTTCTTGACGCCTTTTTGTCGCAGTGCTTATCATGGATGAGTCATTTATATCCTTATGGCAGCTCTCTTGAACATCTACATGAGTTCAGGAAGTGGATAGCTTCATCATGTGTATGAAGAACGAATCTGCAACAAAGCAATATGTAGGAGGAGAGAAAGAAAAATACCACTATGATTTCCATTTGAAGTCGAACTTTCATTAGCAGGGTCAATGTCTTCACTAGAACAATTAGCAGCAACTTGAGAGTCTGACTTATTTTCTGAACAAGGCACTTCCAATAAATTTTGCATGAACACTCTGGCATCCATGTTATATGTAAATATATAATCGTCCACCTTGTTAATCTGTGCATTTGTTCTTAGATAACGAACACTGTCTGGATTTAAATCATTTGCATATACAATACATCCTTTCTGTGCAGCTGGAATCGAAAATGGGCCAATACCAGCAAACATGTCACATATAACATCTCCTTTCTTGAAAAGGGAAACCAATCTGATGTGTTCATGCTCAAGCCTCGAATTCCAGTAGACTAATCCATAATCAAGTTTAAATGTAGCGCCATATTGTTTTACTTCAGTTACCATATCGTTTTTCCCTGCTAAGATTTCAAACTGCGGAACTCGAAACTCGTTTGTAATGGTCCCAACTTTATTTACCACAGTCTGAATCCTTGGATAATTTTTCTGCATATAACCATGTAAAAATATTTTATCTGAATAATGGGAACAAACATAGTATTCTTGCCAGTTATGAATAATCCTGCTGCTTTAGAGAACAAACAGTGAATAGCTAGATGTGTCTATTGTTTTTTTACAGTGCCTCCTGCTTACACATCATGGGTTGCAATTCTATTTTAGCTATTTCCATGTGACAGTTGAATGGTTCTCTGCTCACAGGATGAAAACAAGACAATCAAGACAGACATTTAGGAACATTACAATAGTAAAATCATGGGCAGAATCTTTCTTTTGTGCATGAAGCCACATGCTAAATGTAAATTTGTGGTTGCTCTCTATAATCAGAGTTGCTAAAGCCCCTTACTGTTTTACATTCAGAAACAAATTGTAGATATGCTTCATGTTCATGAACATGTGCTTTGATCATATTAAGTGTACTTAGAAAGGATGAATCAGGAATTGAGCAAGTTACTCGAGAAGATATCCTTACATCATAGATGACCTTTGCTATGACATCTTTGTATGGAAGCAAGTCATCAGGTATGTTCAGATGTGCAACATGGCCTGCATGTACCATAAAAATTACTATTAGTAACAAGGTTCCACCAAAAAATGGAAAGGGACAACAGAAAGGAAGCACTGTCGAAGTTAGTATACTTAACAATTGTTTCAAAAGAAGAGGGTACCTCCACTCCAGCAGGCAAGATCTGCTTCAGAATATGATCTACAGGAAATAAAAGGGATGAAAACCCAACAAATGAAATTCAGCACTACACATCAAAATAGCTTTAACAATATGGAATCCTACATTCCTACACAAATGAAGAAGAGAATATTAGTAGCATTCACAACTAGAAAACTGGAACTTTTGAAAAGAAGTCCTTGATTTGGAAGACCAATTTGCCATCTACTACTTTGCACAAGAAATAACATAAAGAAAACATGATTGAATGTGCCTAAGTAACACACTGCAACAAAAGAACAGAAATAAGATCTTAGAGAATTAGATGGTAAACCGACCTGCACTCCAGTAAGAATAACCAAGGGTCAAACTGTAAGGTACAACATCAATGTTGCAAATTTGCTTCAGTGAATCGTAAACCTTCTCCTCAATATCAGACAGGTCTGTATTCCAAAAACCAGGCGTAAGCATTCTTTCAACAGAGGCGAAACAGATTAGAAACACTAAAACAGAGAAGTTTTCTTTCGATCAAAAGGCGCTAAGCAAGCATGGTAAACTATGGTACTCAAGACATGAGCAACCAAATGGATCTAACTAGACTCAATCAAGTATTGGTGACGGCATTCAAATATTTACAGCAACTCACAATATTTGCTTAGTTCTAATTCACAATTCCAGATAAGAACAGGCTACCAAGAACAAACACAGCCTGAAAAACATACATACAGGAGGTCCAATTGACAAGCTCTACTTTGCAAAGTCGAGCGATTTGGTGCAAATTTTAGAGCAGAGGGAAAAGCATACCGGGGTTCTGGATCTTCTCCGACAACACGACGAGCCGGTTCTTGTCGCTCTCGGGATCCTCCACGACTGGCTTCACCCGCGGCTTGTCCAGTAGGTACCTAGAAACAGGGGGGAAGACAAGCTCAGCTCAGCTCTCAGCACTACCCCTCGCTCCTACTAATAGCATCAAACAATCCTAGGGCTATGCTCTCCGTTTCTTGAATGGATTGGATCGTGGATTCGTCGACCAGCGAGAGAGGAGTTACCCGGAGCGGAGCAGGCGGGTGACGGCGGAGGCGAGCTCGCGGGGGATGCGGAGCGCCCAGAGCTGCAGCCGCTGCTCGAACTTGCTCTCGTCAAGCTTCTCCATGGTGGACTCTGACTCTCCCCTCCCTTCGCTGCTCTCCTCCTTGCCTAGGGTTTTGGCGCCGCCGGGGAGGTGGACGCACGTGGCGGCCGGAGTCCCGGGCTCGGGAGAGAGGGCAAACCGTCGTCGAGGGTGTGAATTGTTAATGGGCCGGCTGAGGAGGCTTCCCTGCGCGGCCTTGTCAGGCCCAAAACATTGGATTGCACATGGAGTTTGGAAATAATTAATTTGGATTTTGAGAAACATACTTAAATTTGAAAATAATTTTGCTTAAATTTGAAAATAATTAAGTCGAATTTTAAAACAGTGATGAAAAATGTAATGCGTGATTTTTTTTTCATGTGATACTGTGGCCATCAGAGATTCAGGTCATATGCAAGGAGTCGAACTCCTAACCTCCACACCGCGAGATTGCGGGTGTTAGCTAACCAAATCATAGTTATATATAAGTTATATCATCATAGTTATAGTTTCAGTACAATTACAAATGTAATTGCACTTTAATTATACTATGTTAAATTCGAAATTTTTCACTCAAAAAATTTGCGGTAGTTTTTTTAGAGACGGTCTCATTAACTTTTTCCATCTCGTTTTTTTGTTCATGTAATAGATTATCAGTTTTCTGCCAGGAACATCATTTTTCCATTTTGGGTCATACGTGAAAACTATGCGCAATAAGCTTGCAGGCCTGCCGTGGATCAAACAGTACGTAATTGAAAATGCACATCAGGAAATCAAATTAAATTTCTTAATTATAGCGGCTGCTTTATGCTTTTACCACCTCCGAAACTTATCAGCTTATGATCACAATACATTTTCTGCGAAATTCGATCGCGTGTGTGGATCGTAGTACACTCATACAAACTGTCATGCACAAGCTATGTTAAAACAAACAATCGACCGTACGTTGGGTATATAGACGATACAACGACGCTCGCGTGGATGACGCCGCCGATCACCGGAGCGTGGCGAACGCGCCGCCGCGCATCATCTGCTTGAACTCGAGGAAGTCGACGCGGCCGTCGCCGTCCCTGTCGACCTGGCCGATCATGCGGCCGCAGTCCTCCGCCGTCCGGCCCTGCTTGATCCCCAGCGACGCCAGCACGGCGCCCAGCTCGTCCACGGTGATGAACCCGTCGCCGTTCCGGTCGAACACGTCGAACGCCTCGCGCATGCTCGCCTCATCCACGTCGCAGGCGCCGCCGCCGCCGCCGCCGCCGCCGTCGACGCGCATGACGGTCTCGTACAGCTGGGTGAACTCGTCCATGTCGACGCACCCGTCGCCGTTGGCGTCGATGCGGGCGATGGTGGCGGCGAGCTCCTCCCTGTGCACGGGCATCCCGAGCCTCTCCAGCGACTCCGTCAGCTCCTCCCGGGTGATCCGGCCGTCGCCGTCACGGTCGAACAGCTCGAACACCCGCCGGAGCTCCGCCTGCTGGTCGCACGCCATCCCCTCGCCGCCGGCCGGCGCCCGCCGCCGCTAGCTGGTGGTGCAGCCGGCTGCACGTACGGCCACAGGGGAGCGTGTGGGAGGGAGGCGTCGGAGGCCGCGGTGGTGGTGGTGGTGGGATGGCGGAGGAAGGCGTGAAGGCTGGCCTCCTCTTATGGGCATTGCAAAGGTGAGGAGGTGGGTGCATGCGTGGTGGCTGCCCGCCATTGGGTGGTGCCGAGCGATTGGTGGAGGACATAGTGGCTTCGAGCATTTCAAGATTGTGTTGCCAAAAAAACGCCATTTTCATGCGATATTCCGCTGAAAATGCTGTGGATCGATCAAATCAACTCCGTGGTGAAGAAATGCGTCCAGCTTGTATGTTCGTCTCTGGCTATAATTTTTTTTTCTTTTTGAGGGATCGTCTCTAGCTATTCGGAGCTCGGCATATTTGTAAACAAGAAGTAATTTGTAAATAAAATTTTTATATACGTATTATTAATAATCTAAAAGCAAAGACTGAAACATTAACTTCGATGAAAAAACTTCAAAATCTTTCTAAATTTAAATGTTCTTCATTTTGGCCCATCAGTTCGAGCAATTCCAGCAGCCATAATTTAGGCCCACAAGCCAGTTGAGCGTAATGTTGGCCCGTGAGTGCGAGTGAATTTATCCATGACTTAAGCCCTAGTTCAGTTTGTTGATAAATTAATCTTCTTAAAATTTGACAGTGCAAAATCTGGGTAGACTCGTTAATAATTTTTTGTCAATGTTAGATGTTTAGTTTGCAATCTTTCTAAATTTTTGTATAGGTACACAAGTAAACTTCCTGAAATACCAAATGTTGATAGTGACAAACTGACACTGGCAGTTGGCAAAAGTTTGTTACCTTAATAAAATTCGGTAAATCAAAAAATGTAGGTAAACGAGCCGGCAAGCCCTCAAGGAGTGGGAGCGTCTGAATTAGGCGCAAACATAATTGGGATTTGGAAGATATATCTTCGAAAAATAAGCTTCTCGTCTACCAGACGAGCATAACATCGAAATTTTCAATGCTCCGTTTTTCATAACGAAATTTTCAATGCTCCGTTTTTCATATAATAATAATGCTTATGTTCCGGTTTATTCGAAATTCTCAGTTTATCAGATAACAGATACAGAGTACTTTCATGCGGATTTCGGTTCTGCACTACTCCGTACTATGTTATTCCAAATTTGATTTCACGCTTCACAAGGACATTCAGATCGAATTTGGTGCAGACCTACAACAAAGACAGCAAATTGGAACAAAATTAAAAGCAGCTTTCCGCGTTGAATGTATCCAGAAAACCTCGGCCAGATCACGGGAAACCTCACCGGCGTACGAGATTCTCGGAACATCCTTCTCGCAAACGAAGAAATTGCCACAAAACACTGACAAGTCTTGGGACAGAGTGCGTTTGCTTTGCTTCGAGATCTATAACCAAGAACAAAAAGACAAATCTCGAATATTTTGAAGACGAGGGGCATGTGCCAGCCGAAAGGGCCCAGAAAATCACCGAGGGTCAGATCCAGGTGAGTTTAAGCTGGCTCGATTTCAATCTCGCAAGATGGCAGACCATATGCCGATTGCCTGGACCGTGTGCGTGTGCTCGAGATCCAAACAAGAAGCTGATCTTGCAAATCCGCACCCCCCAAAAAAAAAATCCAGATCGAAAGAAACGAACAACTCAAAACCACCCCGAAAATTCAACGAATCAAACCAATTACACAAACTACGAAAATAAAACGCACACGACTACAAACCACGATGATAAAAAGCACACGATAGAGATAGAATGAATATGATTTGAAAGGAGCGGCGGCCGGCGATGCTTGTCTCTACTCCTGAGCAAGTATGAGTATATATATAGCCAGTCGCGGCGGCTGCCTGGTTAGGGTTTCGGTGAGCCATCTTGGGCCGGTGAAGCCCATTTATATGGGCCGGAGGAGCCCATGTAGATGGGCCGTGTGTCACAACGGTAAGTCGGCGGCCCATCCAGAATCCGACCGTTGCACAACCCGCCTCGCCTTTTACGTCGTCTTCCTCTTCCCGATCCTTCTCTCTCCCACGCGCAAAGCAAAAAAATTTCCCCTTTCCTCTCCACGCCAAGAAACGCAAAACCCCCACGCCGACCAAGGCGAGAAGCGCCGCCGCCGAATCGAACCGCGATCGCGCCCTTCTCCCGCCGCCCCCGCGCGCTCTTCTCCTCCTCGTCCTCGACGCCGCTGTGCCGGAGTTTAGGCGGAGATCGATCCGGAGCGGGGTTTCTCTTCTACCTGGTAGGTAAGCACTGGGGCTTTCTCTTGGATTGGTCACGCGTTGTCTTGAATTTTTTTTTCCCGTCATCGAGGAAAATTTTGCCCTATCTTGCTCGTTTCTTGGTTGTTGGTGACCGAATCCAAACCCTAGGTTATCCGCAACATTCCGGTCCAATTCGTGCAAACTGGCATGTTATTGGGGATTTGTTTGCTCCTGCTAATTTCATGAAATACGTATGGCTCGGGTCCCTTGGAAGATTTTAGGTGCGTCGTCTAATCTGTTAGTTTGGAACCCGGAGCAAAATATTTCTGAGCTGTCGCTGCAAATCTGTTGGAGAAACGGCTGTGTCCCTTGAAGACTCTAGGTGCGCCGTCTAATCTGTTACTTCCTCCGTTTCACAATATAAGTCATTCTAGTATTTCCCACATTCATATTGATACTAATGAATCTAGATAGATATAGTCTAGATCCATTGGCATCAATATGAATGTGGGAAATGGTGGAATGACTTACATTATGAAACGGAGGGAGTAGTTTAGAACGCAAAGCAAAATATTTCTGATATTTTGCTGAAAATCTGTTGGAGAAATGGGGACTCATGCAGAATGTATGTGAAATCCTGGTTTCCTTCAGCAACCATATGTTGTTATGCTACAAGTTGAACTAATATTTTTCTGACCATGTGCAAAATTTGTAGAACAAAATGTGTAATATATACTGCTTATTGTTTTTCTCTAGCAATTTTGTCTTTTCCCCCTTTGCTCAGTACCTAGAATTTTTCAGGCAAGGTTGAGGAAGAAAAGCTTGCTGATTTGTGATGGCTGCCCCAACTGCAACAGCTGTTTTTCTTGATGAGAACCTGCATATCCATAGGGGTAAGGCTGCTTTTGATCTGACTAATTCATCACAAGGAGGATTTCCTGTGGTAAATGACTGACATGTTTGGTCCATGTGTGCAGGGCCTGCTGGCAAGAGGGCTGATGGATTGAAGGCCAAGCCACTGAAGCCATTAGCAGCAAAGCAAGGGCTTCAAGAGAAGAAGGCCCTGAGGGATGTATCCAACATTGGCAAGCCCCCGGTGTCTACGCGGAAGCCCCTGCAGGACGTGTCCAACACCGCCAAGCCCCGAGGGCGCAACATTTCTGATGGCACTACCTTGAAGAAGACTGCTCTTCGCAGCCATGAGGCCACCAAGAACCCAGTGAAGAAGACTGTAATCTTTTCTGATGAGACCGCAAAATGTCATGAATGGGCTAAGGATGGGGTGGAGGGCACCCACTTCACTGGGAATGATTCTCAGAAGTTGGAAAAGGACAGTCAAGACAAACGTAAGAGTTCACTTCCTGCAGTTCAATATGCCATAGAACCCTTTTGCTTTCAGTAGGCTCAGATAATGAGATAACTTGTTTTGTTATTGTTCATTCTACACAGGTGTCAAGAAGAAGGTGGAGAAAATAATGTCAGCATTGCACGACTGGCCAGACGCGGTATTTGATCATGTGCTTTTTCCATCTGAGGTATGTATTTCAAAGAGCACAGTGTTCAGACTTTTCCAGATTGCTTTTACTTTTGAAATATTTCTGTGGATTTGAATTTCAAGGTCGAAGAAGAAAGCTTTTGATTTTTTCTATGTACAAATACACTACCTAACTTGGCTAACTAGCTTGGCTGATAATTTATTGAATCTAGAAGAGCCTCAAGTATTGCTTGATCTCTACATACCTTTTGCGTGAACAGTAGCTGATGCCTGGTGGTATCATTTGACACAAGAAGATAACTAATGGGTACATAGTAAATTAATGACTAGGCCAGTATTTTATGTTTTCTGTCGCAAAACAATAGTGGTGGTATCATTTGACAAGCTTATTCTTGTTATTTTATCTGTCATTTGACAAGCTTAATTGGGCTATTTCCCTGTAATATTCTCTTATATTAAGAGAAAAAAAAGTCTATTCTGAATTATACTATTCCCTGAATGAAACTGTTATCTGGATATTGATGGATTCCCTTTTGCTACCAGTAGTGCTTGTCTTTATTTATTTCCAAGCTGGCTGACTTATTTCATTGTGGTTCCTCTATTTATATTTATGCTTAATAATAGTATTCACTGGCATCAGAAGAAGCCAGAAAGGGGACTTCTATGATTCGGTATGACATTGGTTTCGCTAAAAGTTAACTCATGGATGAGAAAACCTTACATGTATTTTAATAGCTAACAACAGAGAACATCCATGATACCGTCATGGGTCAGTAACAGTTAAAATGTTTGATGGTTATTAATTGTGGTATGTTCTTCTGTCTGTACATGGTTCTGTTTGATGAACTGCTCGGTCATTCATTCATGCTCTGAAGTCTGAAGCAACATGTTATTCTAGGGATAAATTATGTCTTGCTCTATGTCGATAACATTTCTTGCTTTCTTGTATCTTTTCTTCTTGATCTCCAATATGTTATGTGATTATCTCAAGCAACGCAGATGCAATGCTAATTGTTTTTCAATGTATATAGGTGGTAGCAGCGTTTTTTGAAGAAGTAAAAGAGATGGAGCTGGAACCTGAGATTCTTCCAGAGAACAATAGGCGTCGCTCAAGTTCAGGTCTCTTTCTTCTTCCTTGCACACATTCATGCCGTTCTCTCATCTCTGCTTTCCAGTGCTTCCATCAACAACATCGTCTCGATTTCTTCCTTATAATCTGTATGGATGTTTGCCCCTCCAGGTGATAAAATGAAGCTGGCTGAAGATCCTTTCACGGAAGACGAGCTTGACTACTACCCATTTCTTGAGAACAATCCCGTTGAGTTTCAGCTGAGAGATGAGCTACCACTCCTGGAGCCTGGAATGAACTGAAGAATGCTAATCTGCCCCACTTGAAAAGACCTCAGAACAGTGCTATTATCATCATTATCCTCTTTGCAAACTCTACTTGCTCAGGAGCAGTTTATTTGTAGTAGTAGTAGTAGTAACTAGTATCCTAGATGTTCTGCTGTATGTGGTTGGTGTGATAATCATTCACACTTTAGGAAGAACCCAAGTAGCGGAAGCAACTTTAGCTTCCTTTATGTTCTGTGTCTTGGCTGAAATACCCATCATTAAGCCATTGTGTAAATGGTAGTAGTAGTAAACTGTAGTGTAAGGATTCTGCAGAAGTACATGCGTGTGCCACTTCCTCTATTACGAATGCGTGCACATGTGTTTGATTTCCTGTTTATATTTTGTTCAGAGTTTCAGCTTGGTCAATACAATGTTAGGTTCATCTGAACGCAGCCATCCACTTGACCACCTTGCATCGATTCCCAGTTCGGATTGGATGAATTTGCCGTTCCCTGTTCAAAATTTGACGTTCGCTGTTCAAATTGGATCGTGACGAGGAAGCCTTTTGCCGTCGTGTTCTTCCATCCTCTGCGGCTGGTTCTCCCGGGCCCACATGTCATCCACCCAGGGGAAGGTGGGAGGAAAGACCAAAAAAAAAATAAAAAAAAAATGTTGGATCGTGACGACTCACCAAGGCCTAGGATTATTTATGTATTGATCGGTCGCAACCGCGAGTCCGCGACGGGGCGAGACACCGGCGGCCATAGCTCGAGAGCTCGAGGTCAACCCGAAAGCCACGCACGCGCCGCGCAATGGGTTCCGACGCCAGCAGCGCCGCCGACGCGATGGGAGTGCTCCGGGCGGCGGTGCCCCTGCAGGCGGACGCCGACCTCGTCCTGGCTACCGGCGGCGGCGGCGAGCGGGGGCAGGTGGTGGGGCTCGTCCTCGTCGACGTCTCCAACGGGTTCTGCACCGTCGGCGCCGGGAACCTCGTGAGCTACCTCCCCCCCTCCCCACGCCTCTCCCTCTCCCTCTCTTCTCCTTCGCCCGTGCCTTACCGCGCGCGCGACGCGGATTGATGGTGGCACGCTTGGTTGGTTGGGCTGCGCCGCTGCTTGGCGTCGTGGCCAAAATTGCTTGTGTGCTGGGGATTGGGACACGAGTGAATAGACCACTCTGGATTACTCGGAGGAATATCCTCCTCCTGGCTTTTGCCTTGTTTTGAACTCCCTGTTTGTTTTGATCTTTATTGTCCTATTCTCTTCTTGCAACCACCAAGCGTAGTGTTCCTGCGTGCTGCAAAGCTGCTCATGTTGGATACGAGGATATATACCCATATGGCCATATAAGTTTTGGTCTTGCTCGTCATGTGAATCGTCATCTTACGTTTATCAACACGCTGCTGGAATCTCCCAAGACATATGCTCAATCTGCTTTAGTTTACTCGTTTTGTTTTTTTTTTTTTGTTTTTTGGGCTCATTCACCGTGCTAGTAGCCTAGTACTACTCCAGTATTTGTTTGCTTATGTTATTATTAGTGACTGGTTGGCTTGTTAAATTAGTGTTAATGATTATTGTTTTTAGAACTGGTGTTAGTGAGTATTTACTTGTTCTTGTTCATTTTCAGGCCCCCGTCACGCCAAACAAACAGATAGAGAAGATGGTGGATGAGGCCGCTAGGCTCGCCAAGGTGTTCTGCGAGAGGAACTGGCCAGTCTTTGCGTTTCTTGACACCCACTACCCTGATAAGCCCGAGCCGCCTTTCCCGCCACACTGTATAATTGGTTCTGGCGAGGAAAATTTTGTCCCAGGTTGTTCACGCTTCAATTTGTTGCCTCAACTTAAAGCTCCTAACCGGATATGTTTAGCTTCTTTCGTTATGGGCTGAAGTGATCAATTGATGGTTTTGCCAACGCTGACATGAGAATGGCAACACGTTATGGTCCTCTTTTGGTGCCTGACAAAATTTAATCTCTACCATTTGCAGCTCTGGAGTGGCTGGAAAAGGATCCAAATGTAACGATCAGGAGGAAGGATTGTATTGATGGTTATCTTGGTGCATTTGAGAAAGATGGCTCAAATGTTTTTTCAGATTGGGTTGCGAAGTTTCAGATCAAAACCGTGAGTGATTTGGTTCTGCTACTCTTCGAGTACTTCAGAAGAAAAATAGTGTGGTTGTATATGAACCGTGATTTGGCTTGATGCAGGTATTGGTTTTAGGAATATGCACAGACTTTTGTGTTTTGGATTTTGCAAGTTCAGCTTTGGCTGCCAGGAACATTGGCCGAGTGCCTCCGCTGGAAGATGTTGTCATTTATTCAGAGGGTTGTGCTACGTATAACCTCCCAGTTGAAGTAGCCAGGAGTATGCAAGGAACCTTGGCTCATCCTCAGGTATTGGATCACTGAAAACCAATTAACGAGGCTGTATGGTTTACATAACGAATGGAACCTTTTCTCTTACATCTGTAGCATGTTGGGCACTCTTTGCCACAGGATATCTATTAGTTTTTATTCTCTGGACTATCAGGCATAGGACACTTTCCAGTTTGCACATCCATGCTATATAGAGTTCCTTACAAAACCGTGTCTCACCAATCATGAGAACACTTCATCCATTCCTTTGCAGACTTGACCTTAATGTGATTGCCGGGTATATTCAACAGGGTAAAGAACTAAAGATATCATCTTGTTGTCATCCTCACAAGGGTTTAATAAACCACAGATGCACAAAACACCAAACATGGATATCTAACAAGTGAAATTAACCCGGACAGAATTCATTTATTTCCCTTTTTACTTATATAGTTACTCCATGGACATAATGATATCAACTTTACCTTCAATAAAAATAAACATCAATGAGTATTCCATAAATCCATACTTTATGATTAACCTGCTTAACCTTCTAATGATGCAGGATCTAATGCACCACATGGGACTTTACATGGCAAAAAGCAGGGGTGCAAAGGTTGTTGACAGAATCATTATTTAAGATTAGAGGTGTAAAACTAACACAAGACTGTAATAGTGACCTGGATCGATTATCTAGTTTGGTTTTTATTGCTGGGACGATGATCCTAGTGTTCTCTTTACTTCTTCCTTTTATCTCTTCAATGTACAACAATCTGACATATATTTCTTTACTTCTTCCTTTTATCTCTTCAATGTACAACAATCTGATATATATTTGCGGTTGGACAGAATACTGATATTTTGCTAATGTTTCGTGCACGGTTGTGCGTAATTAATCTAAGGAATTTGGTATGGATGAGCTGGGATCACTTATTTCTGAGCCAAAAGCAGTTGAATTCCCAAATTGGATGTGTCCCGGGGCTTGGAGTTAAATCTGAAACTTTTTTTGTAATGATTATATACTTATCGAGCCATATAATCTAAAAAAAACACAAGCTGTTATATAACACGATTCATATCATGTTATCATGCAATATAGAACACGCATTACGGCTTAGAAGCAACTGTCAGCACAAGTTGGCAGCAAATCAAGCAACAAATTCTAAATACATCGCATTAGTTTATTCAAGAGGCTCATAGCAACTGAACAAGAGAGGAACAGATGAGATCATCATCAGTACAAGTTTCCAATGTGATCTGAGCATCATCAGTACAAGGTTCTATTGATGAAATATGAATCCTACATTCCTCTGCTTTGAGGAAGAAGCCGAGTTGCTGAGCAGGTTGACCGGCTGCAGTTCAATGCCTTGACAGTGTCAAACCAACGGTCCAAACCAATCTGATCATGTTGGCTTTTAAACCGGTAATTATGCATGGGAGATACATCATAGCATATATATCACATAGCTAGCATAGCATGCAGTCATGCACATAGTTAGAGAAGTTATAAAAGGTGGTGAGCATTTGTGAAATGAGTATTACTACATCGACCAAAATCTTCAGTAATCCAGAGTACAATGATAAAGGTGCGTTAAACGAATCCAAGTGACTCTCAGGCACAAATGTAACGGACTGTCTCCTATGCTAATGGACTGATGGCATCATACTACGTACTTAGTGGCATCCCATCAACGTCGCCTTGGACAAAAATAGGACTCTCTGGACCTTCTTTTCCTGATCTAACCCCAAAACTCCCTGCAGCTAGCTAAGATCCTTGCAAGAACTAAGGTGCACTAAATTGGAGGGCCAGTGATTAGTCATTGTCATTGTTGATGTCAAGTTTTTCATCACCGCCCTCGGGGTTGTGTTGATGTTCATCCCTGGCACTGGCAACTTCATCGGGGTCCTCCTCAATGGGCTTGAACTTAACCAGTATGGCAGTCGCGTTGTCATTTGAGTGCAAGCAATGACCAACAAGCTTCTCACAAGTCTCGCGTAGATTTTCCTCCCCCTGTGTTGGTTAACATGCATACGTCAAGGCACAGGCCAAAGGGCATAATAACAATTCTAGCAACAAATGAATGAACAGCGAAAAACATCCTACGATCTTCATATGTAGACTTTAGATTTCAATCTCTTGATAACAAAACGAAGCAGATCCATGCACATGTGTTCAGAACTGGAGTAAACTTTCATTGATTTAATTTAAGAGTGCATGCATGAAAGGAACTTCTAGAGAGGATGCGTTTTTTAGACAAATGGATCATATCAACCCGGCTTTTGGTGGAGTCCAAGATAACAAGGTTCTTACAACCAACTAAATAAGCATATAACTACTACACTTCGTGTTCTCATCACAGAACCAGCCTGCTAACATAATTTCAAAGCAAAAGCCATGTGTTTTTTTAATGCATTACTTCATGACATGTAGAGAAAAATAGGAAGGACTCACCGGACGTAATTCCTGACGCACAAACTGAACAACATTGTTATTTCTCATGCCATCCCTGAAAGAGAAAAAAAAATGTATTTAAGTTTACTATGTGAATATGAATAAAACTGTAGAAGAAACAAAAGGAAGAGACATAGCATTGCCAATGGGAAACGTATATCAGATTGTGATAATATATGGTAGATTGCTGTCATTTATCAATATTAACACTGATACATCTTAGCACAATTCCTACAGGTGTAAATGTTTCATTTAGTGAGATGGTTCTTGAAGAATGATCTTGCAGTATAAGTCAGATATATAAGGTGACCAGTGGTCGTTGCAGTCATTTCCAACTTATTAAGCCTGTCAGATACCAAACCATCAAATTAAATAATTGTCTGAATACTATAAAACCCCAGCTAGTGCAGGGAATGACAGATGTCTCTCTTTTCAGTAGATTCAGCCTCTCCAAGGACATAACATTTAACTCAAAATAAGAATTCAAAAATCTTCACCACGTAAAAACATTCATAACTACACATGGTGGTGAACTAGATAATATACCAGTCCAGGTCACATCCAATTTTAATTAAAGCAAATGTACAAACCCTTGTGGAAAAAACAATACTGTCTTAGAAGCAAGTTAATTGTCATTGGAGTGGATATATTCTGCAAGAGATTTATTTAATCAGGAGCTAGCATAAAACAACAAATAACCTTTACTAATTTTATAGCAGAGGACCTACCAGACACCATCACTTGCTATGACAAGAAATTCAGTATCATCAGTTATGTTTTCCTAACAAAAATAAGGACATCTGATCAGACCAAGAAAACAAATATATAGTCATCTAAAATGGCATAGTTACACTTACGACGCGAATGTCAGGAACACATGTCACCATTTGCTGTGAAGGAGGCATATTTCTGTTCTGCTTATATGCAAAATCACCTGCAATGGTAGTAACGAAAATGTCAATTACAATGCTACAGATTTTATACAAACAGCCAAAAGAAAATAAGATAAAATTATACCAATCGCTCTGGACGTGGCTAACATTCCTAGAATTCTTTGCAAAAATACATGTCCTCCTGCTCTTTGAATTCTTTCGCGTTCAGCTTCATGGTGTGGTTTGTGATCAAAGGATAAACTAATTGCCTATGGACACAACAGAAAAACAAAAAGATAATAATTAGGCACCAATTTATTGCATTTGGCAAGAGAGAAGATCCAGGCAATAAGACATTTCACAAGAAACAAGTCACGCACCTGACCATTCTTTGAAAGCACGCAACGAGAATCACCAACATTCCCAACAATGATCTGATTTCCTCTAATGATTACCACACATGCTGTGCTACCTTCATATGACGGCGGAACGTAATCCTGAGGGGGCAACAATCCAGCTGAAGTGTAAAACTAACAATTCAATAGTTCCACGAAATAAAAAAATCTAAAAAGGTGTGCAATGCCACCAGAGAAAAAAATGATGTCCATACTCCATAAAAGAAGGGAACAAATGTAAGAAAGACATGATGAGTCCAACAAAGTGACATATCAAACAATACCATAGTTTGGGCAGTAGGATAACAACTAAAGTACAACAAGAACTTAACAAGCTTTTGGATTCTGACTCCATAAACATTAAACAAGTGCTTGATATGATGAGTGTGTATGAGAAATATATCACTCGGAACTCCACATCATATCTTGAGAGAAAAATATGGAATCCATATCACACATTCCTTCAAGATACTTCTTGCAGATAAGAATATGTGCACTAGATAACTAGAAATAAGATCATGATTAACTTTAATGCAGTTGGATGTGTAAAGAACAACCACGAAGTTTATATATCACCTCTGTGAAATGGTGGAGATTAGCACAAATGTTAGTGAGACAATTGCGATTAGCACAGGGATTAAGTGACTCCCTCCATTCATTTGATCGTTGCAAATCATCATCAAGTCTGCAATTAAGAAGGCAGGTGATTACATATTTTCATGTTTGCTAATCCAGCAAATGGTACTATATTTTCAAGAAAATGATTGCAATTATGAACACTTGTCCTTCCGTTTTCCACTATTGAGAAACATGAGTGCACAAAATATGTAGAGTACATGAAATAATTATGTAGAAAATAACCTGAAGCATACAGACGTAATTGCATTGGGCAGATTGTTGATATAGTCTACATCCTCAAGAAGCATAGTATGAAATCGTTTTGCACAGTACATTGCTACTTCAGCTCCTGAATAGAAAAAGGTAAAAAACTCAGCATGACTGTACAGATAGAGAACGAAGGATTGAAGGATGAATCAACTGTTATTATGTTCCTAATAGGAAACGCCGTCCTTTCTTTATAGAGGATTGTGACTTCTATGATATTTTAACCAACGCGTGAAGTGGTCTAACAGATGAATTGTTTGACATTTGTTAGAAAAGATGAGAATGAAGATCAAACCTCCATGGCCATCATAAACACCAAAGAATGACGTGGTCGCATCTAGATCTAGTTCAACTGCAAGCTAGATAATACGAAAGGTACAAATCAAGCTTGTTGTTTGATCACATTTACTTACAGGTAAACACCTTATGGCCATAAAATTGGTTAAAAGAGTGCAAGATTACTCACTGCATCTTCCATGTGCGGGCGAAATCCTTGCGTAGTATATGAGGCATACTTAACTCTGTGATTCTCTCCTTCACTAGATGATGGTGATTGTTCTAGTGGACGGCTGGGAGATGCACCCATGGCAGAAGCCTCTTTCCTGTAAGGACTAATGTGAACACACTATTGTACTATCTGTTGAACCAAACATTGTTCAATACTGATCAGGGTCACTAAGACTTAAGAAGACCATGAAAAATGGCTTCAGCATTTCAGAACAAAAATAAAAACTCCAAAGTTTGTGCCAAGAACAAATGCAGCAGCCTGCAGTGCACACGATATGAAAGGGGACAAATAATCACAGGCTAAGATTTCCCACTCAAATTTCAGTAACACCTGGTGCCGGGTAACAAACTACTTAACAGAATCGCACTTCACACCATACTGGGGAAGTGAAACATCATCAAGTGTTAGACCATTTAATGTGAGCTGCAAATAAAGATGGCTTGAACTTGATTGCTTGATAGTAAGTAAGAACTAAGAGACTCATACATCTATGGATGTAAACATCTACTGAATGAAAAGTACTTTCATGAAAAACAGAGTAACACTGCTCGCTGGCACTCAACAGCAAGAACGGACAGGTTATAAATCAAGATCACCGAGTTTCCGCGTGCACAGCATCATCAAGAATCAACAAGAATAAGAGGAATCAACAGAACGTCAAAACCCAGTGTGGGAAAAAAAAAGAGAGGAAAGCACACCTACACGCAGAAAGAATCTGGAAAAACATACCAAAATAAGTAAACGATAGAGACGAGCAGATATAGATCATCGAGCGGCCATGTTTACATCGATAACGCCAGGAAAAGAAACATCAAGAAAATGCGTAGGTAGAAACGGGTGCTACGATGAAGGATGAACTCATGAACTGATGAACACTATCCAGTTGCAAGAAGACGGACAGATACAGAATTACAGATTACCACCTCCTCCAACAGAGACCATGCGAACCGCAACAGCAGCGACACGGAAGCAGCAGTAGACGCAACAACAGGAACAAGGTGGAGAAGAATGATAAGTAAGATCGAAAATAAAAGGAGACAACGAAGATCACCATAGGTTGGTGCTCGTCACCTCCTTCTCCTCCAAGAAAACTGCCACCATCTTCGAAAGCAGCAGGAACAGCAACAACAAGAGCAAGCAAGAAAACGAAGAAAAAAGAGGGGAAAGAGATCACCATGGCCCTCGGTGCTCGTCACCCTCCCTCCTCAAAGAAAACCACCACCAACTTCAAAACCAACCGCAACAACATCAACACATACCAATGCAAGAACACAGACCAACTTCAAAACCAACCGCAACAACATCAACACACACCAACGCAAGAACACAGGCCGCAGCATTCCAGACCAAGAGTAAAACTCTCACAGAATCGTCTCAAGATCGAAGACAAACACAACACCCAATGGTCTCGATCAAGTACTCCACAGGACCACGGCGAACGAAACGAAACAGCAAGAACTAGAAGAGCAGCGGCTACTAGCAACAGCATCACCAACACAAACACATGGACATTGAAGAAGAGAAGAAATCTCACGGTTGTCTTGGAGCAGAGGAAAGCAGAGGAGGAGGAGGAGGAGGAGAGAGTGGGAGAGAGATCAAATCAAGCCCTCACCTCTCCGCGATTCCGCTGCGCTTGTGACTTGTGAAAATTGTTGTGGTTGCGAAGCAAAAGTGGGTGAGAGGAGCCAAAGCCTTGCATGCAAGAGGAGGTGGGGCACAAAAAGTAGTAAAACCAACCCAAAGCTTCCGTCTTCGGCCCGAGCGGGCGCATCTCGTCCGTTGGATTGGCCCAACGTGGCTGCTGCGCCTGATCCGACGGCCCAGGTGCGCCCCTCGTGCTGCCCGTGCACCTGGGCCCACTCGCGCGCTGCCTTGTGGCCTTCGAGGAGGGATTCCTCCTCCTCCTCCTCCGCCGCCGCCGTAGCCGGGGTATTGGTCGGCGCCGCCGAGCCGCTCGGGAGTACAGGCGGAGGAGCCCCGAGGAGCTGCATTGAGGCCCACGCGCCGCCGGGCTCGCCGTCGTCGGCCGCTTAGCTCCACCCCCTTCGTCTTCTGCTCCGGCCGCCGCACAATCACAGCCTCACCCCTCCCCTCCGGGGTCCAGGCTAGCGCCTCCTCGCGCTCGCGGGCTCGCCGCCCGAGCTGTGCGCCACGCCACGAGAGCATCGGAGCACGCGGCAGCGGCGGAAGAAGGAATCCGGGTCGGCCATGTCGGCGAGGGCGACGGTGGCCGATGCGGGAGGTGGAGCGGCGGCGGCGGCGGTTGCAAGGCAGCACGCGGTGTGCGACGGCGCGTGGAGCAGGAGCAGGAGCAGGAGACATTGGCGTAGACGGAGGGAGCCCCGGCCATGGCGGCGCCGGCAGCGCGGCGCGGCAGGCGGCGGCCGGACGTGGACGACGTGTGGGGAGGTGGAGCAGCGGCGGTGGGATGGGAATGGGGAATTTCCAGCTCTGGTGGACTCGGGCTGCGCTTATCGCGCCAGAATTAGGCCCACCAATAATCACAAAACAGGCCCTCGTTTTAGTCCGCGGAAGTATTGGGCCTAAATTCAGACCGTTTAAACTCCTATGTGGGCCTAAATTTGGCCCGTTTATAATGAGTAGGACTGAATCTAGCTTTATCTACAACAGACGTATAAAACAGATCGACGAATTAGCACATAATTAATCAAATATTAGTTAATTTTTAATTAAATTAATATAGATTTTAAAGCAAAATTTCTATAAAAATTCTTTTTAAAAACATTATTTAACAGTTTAAAAGCGCAAGCACGGAGTTGAAAAAGGGGGAAAAGAACACTTGATTTATATATTATTCATGTACTTAAAACAAGTTATGAGTCACGCAGTATGGTTTATTACTGCTGGAGTGCTGGTTCAATGCCAATTATTATGCAACCAAATTGTGATTAATGAACTATACTAATTCACTCTTATCCTACACTAACAATAAAGTTTCGTTGCACATGATGCGCTAATTTTCCCAGTTAAGATGTTACAGGAAATGTGGAGCTCAGAGAAACCTCCTAGAGAAAAACAGAGAAAAAACTGTACAGGGATTACCGGATTAGTACAACATTATCTCGCTCCTGCCATGACAAATGTTTGAATTTTATCCCCTCAATGAAATGCAACGACTAAATAATGGTGTATATATGTTGCCACTTACCAACGAAAACGAACTACAGTAAATTGAAACAATGCATATGTTACAAAGGATGTGTAACATTTGTTGTACACATTCAGAAGGGCAAAAAACCACAAGTTACAAATATGGGGAAACAATTCTAAACTCACTCACTAGAGGACTCCTTCTAGTTATTTACATGTCATTCGAATACGAAAATATAAACAAAATAGATTAATATAGATCATTCCACGAATATACGTGCAAGATCAAATTCAATTTATACAAGTTGAAAAAAAAACAAAATTAATGGTGGTTATCCGTTAACTAGGCTATAGTTTAATTTGTTTTTTTTCCTGGTAGAAGTTGAGTTTTGACTTATATATTTGTGGAATAATATCTTTTATAACTATTTAGATAACATAGAAGAAATATTCCTTAGAGTCTAAGTTTAAAATTCATACCTCAAATATGGATGTACACAACATCTGGGCCGTGTTAATAAAGATTGTAGGATCTTGCTGAGGGGGCAAAAAGAAAAAAAAAACTCAAGTTGCATTGCATGGCAACCATGATGAACGAATTAACATAACATTGTTTATTACAAGGGATATCTGCTCCTACAGTCCTACCAATCTCGTCCTCGATCAACCGATCGACCACCGCGTTCTACATGGCGAGGAGATATGCAGCTGTACCCCGTCAGCTCCAGCATGCAGCTCCGTTCAGCGAACACCTCCCGATGAAGATCGCCGCCGCCGCCGCCGCGGACGGCAGCTGGTAGCCAGGCAGCCGTAGTTGATCAGCGACAGGTCGGCGACGTCGCGCGCCAGCTGAGCTGCACCCGCCGTCGGCCGTTCTTCCTCTCCTCGGCTGCACCGGGTGAAGTCTCGAATGCGTCCGCGGTTGGGCGCGCTGGCAGATCAGCCGGTAGTCGAGCGCCGCGACCACGGGCGTTCTCCGTGAGGGACTGAGGGACACGTCCTGCGCCGACGTGAACCCGCCGTACCTTGCAATCCCCCTCCCATAAATTTCAAACAAAACAAACTATTGTGAAGTTAGCAAAATTTATTCAAATTTGATAAATATTGCTCAAATTTCCAATGTTGATCGAATTTAAATAAAATTTGCTAAATTCACACACACACACACACACACACAAGTCGGACATAGTTTTGTGTCAGGGGAGGGTTTGAATTTCGAACCGAAATTCCAAACGTGCGCATTAGACATTGCGGGTTCGCCAATGCATGCCCAGTAGGAGAAAGAAACGAAAGTGTATACAATATATAGAGATCAGACTACCAAAAGCTAGTAAATTTGAATTGATGAATCACATACTCCTATATTTCAACCAAATAACACACACAGTTTTGGGTTTACAGATCAATGTAAGCCATCATATTCATGCATTGCATGCTCGTGCTTTTACAGACTCTCTTGTTCTTTCTATACATTGGCTATGGATCCTCGAAGAAGGGATATGGATTTTCATCCCTCGAGAAAATATCCTCTCATTGTTTGCATGTTAGCTAAATAGTTATAAAAAAATTGACAACATAGATTAATATGAATTAATTAAATTGAAACATTGCACGGTTACATTTGTTGTACATCCATATGAATCCAGATTGATAAATCTAGAAGCAATCTTTCTGAGACAATGATTGTGAACAACACAATGTAACATTTTTTGCCAATGTGTTCACAAATTACAAAAATACATTTCTTGCCAGATTCTTGTAACTATTATCCATCCATCACCGGCTGATCACTGCGTGTTGAGCACGGTGAGGACGCAGCTGGAGATATCCTGAGAGCTATACCCCGTCAGCTCGTGCAGCTCCGAGCTCCACGGCAGCGCGCCCGGCGGGTTCAGCGTCCACCTCGCGATGGAGATCACCGCCGCTGCCACCACGGACGGCAGGTAGCCCAGGCAGCCGTAGCTCTCCAGCGACCGGTCGGCGATGTGGCGCGCCAGCCGCTGCACGCGCAGCTCCTCCTTCCCCTTGCTGTACCGGGTGAAGTGCTCCACGAACGTCTCCGCGTTCGGGCCGCCCAGCCGATAGCCCAGTGCCGCCATCATCTCCCTCTCCATCGCGAGCACCTCCTGCGCCGACGCGAACTCGCCGTAGCTGGCGATCTCCCTGGCGTCCAGCTTGAAGACCGTCCCCTGGTCCTCGTACTTGGCCGCCGTGTACACGGCCGTGGCGCCGACGAGGCTGAGCTGGTGCTCGGTGTAGCTCGGCAGGGCTCTCGCGGACAGGAACCGGTCGAAGTAGGACACGGCGCGGTGGAGCGTGCCGGCGGCGAGCTCGTAGCGGTGGGTGAGCCTCCCCATCCAGGCGACGAGGGAGGCGCGTGACGCCGCGCTGATCTGACCGTTGTGCACCGTGTCGAGGTAGTCCGGCGACGGGCGCTCGGCGGCGTCCTTCTCCATGGCACGGAGGTTGGCGTCGATGTCGTCGTCGTAGGGCGCGCACAGCTGCGGGCGCGACGCCATGGAGTCGTCGGGGGCCGGAGCGTCGTCGTCGCCGTTGTACTGCTCGCTCCACTCCAGCTGCTGCATGAACGCCCTGATAGCGTCGCCTTCGTCGACGGGAGCGGCGTACACGGGCTCGTCGGCCAGCGCTGGAACGGGAAGCGGAGGAAAGCCCGGCGGCGGCGGAAGAAAAGCAGAGGGCACCTTGGCATCCACCTTCGTGTCCCAGTTGCCGTTGGTGTCATCATTCGATGCCATGGACTCCACCTCGGCGGCGGCGGCCAGGTCGGCGCCGGGCGCCGCTGGATGCGCCGGGAGCGCGCCGATGGCGCGGAGGTACGCGTCAAGAACCCCGACATCCATCTGCGCCGCGCCGCCGTCGCCGGACAAGAGCTCGACCATCGAGGCCGTTATGTCGTCAGCGAGAAGGTCGGCGACGTAGGGCTCCATGATCGAATCCATGGTCGCTCTCGCTCGCTCGCCGGAGCAGTGGGAGAGCAGAGGCTAGTGGTGGAAGAAGAAACTTGCACACGCTGGTGGCGACTGGCGAGGCGATGGTGATGGTGTCGCGCTGCGCTCCTCGCCTTTTATCCTGGCTGCCACCATGGGTGTTCGATCCGATTCAGGCCAGGCTTCGCGCGCAATTCCGAATCGGGATCGTATTGATCGATTTGATTTGAACCAAGCGAATCGGTGTGAACCCGTACTAGGCTGTATAAAACCTGGAATTAGGTTGTGTTCCTTTCCTATTTCGGTCTCCGACTCTGTCCCAAATTCCTGATGGGATTAACGGATAGCTGTAATTTCTTAATGATGATTAGTTGATTGTTTATAGTCCTGAATTAGTATGTCGACTTACGAAAGCGTTTCTTTCTTCTTTTTCCTTTTGGCGTCCGTGTGAATTTGGGTACAAGAAAATTGGGTATCAGGTTAATGTTTTCAAATCGTTCTGGAGTCATCAAAACTCAAACACGAACGCAAGAAAAATCCATCAAAGAAGCGCGTAAAAACGGCAACTTGGTTTCTCACATATGTGTGTCTTTCCTTTTCTTCACTCCGACTGGATCTCTGTCCTGCAATGGAATTAATTTCTAGCGCTGTAAATTAATTCACCGATCAATACCATTTTGGGTAGGATAATAACTCCATTCCATATACACCGGAACACACAAAAAAAAAGTCTACTGTTCTTAAATTCTTAAAATACATCTATTTCTCTAAGGAACACGGTAGAGACACTATTAACAAAATTACTTAAGAACGATTAATTGATTAATTAGTCCTGAATTGTGCCAAACGAGATGGGGAAGTTGGGAAGCCCTGCAAACGAATGCAGGCTAAGCTTTCGTCTGATCAGAGCAATTTGATGAACGTGCGTGCACCCCTGCAGATTTTTACTGGATTTGATTAGAGCATATAGAGAAAATTGTTCTGAATGTGAATTCGATCATTATCAAACTAAATATTGGTGTAAATCTAATATAAAATAGAGTTAGAGAAAATACATAGTTTGTTTTGTCTATCTAATAACACTGTGGATTATATGTATTATTGGGAGTAAGCAATATCAGAAAGCCTGGCCCCGAAACTTTGTTCAATCCGTGTAAAAAATTTGGCTCCGAAAGCTCGACTTTGTACAAACATCCAAAAATCGCAGACGGCACTCATTAGGTGTGAGAACATAGATCTCGACGATGTACCAAAGAACATACCAACGACGCGGACATTACTACCAATAAAATACCTGGGACTACCTTTCACCGTTGGGAGATTGCACATGCAAGGCAGACCTGCAACCACTCTTCGATAAATCAACAGGAACGATGGCCGCTTGGCGGGAAAGAAACATGGGGCTAGCTAGCGCACCACCTTGGTCAAGTCAGTGTTTTCCCCGCAGTTAGTCTATGTCCTAATAACATTTAAATTTACCAAAGAATCTATAAAAGTGCTTGACAAACAACGAAAGAGCTTCCTATGAGTGGGTCAGGAAAACATAATGGGCGGGAAATGCAAAGTAAACTGAAAAAGATCATGCTCACCAGTTGCCTATATATGGCGGCCTGGACGCGCTAAATCTAGAAAGCTTCGCACTAGCACTACATGTCAAATGGCTATGTCATAAATAGGAATCCTCAAACAAGGCATGGGTTGGGTTGGATACCCCATGTGATGAAACCGATAAAATACTCTTCGTGATTACGATGATAACCGTTGGGGACGGAGTAGCATCACGTTTTTGGGACTCGGCCTGGATGCATGGTCGCCACTCGAAGGAAGTCATGCCACAAGTGTACGTATACGCAATCTCCAAAACGAAGAATAGAACCTTGAGAAATGTCATCGCAGATAATACCTGGTCACGAGACCTAAACCTCTCAATACTGTAGCCATGACAACTGAGCTTCTGGAGCAACTAGTGATCCTGTGGGCAACAGTTCAAAGCGTGCAGCTCACAAATCATGAAGAGTACCTGGTTCCACCTAAAAAAAAGTTCCTTGGATCCACTAGCACAAACTATGCGTGGGCATCAAACAAATATAAGCTGTTCGCCTAGCTTGTGATCCATAATAGGGACTGGACGTTAGACAAATAAGTGATTCGAGGATGTCCAAAAAAACACCTAATGCCTACTGCAGACACACTTTGGAGGCAACCTTCCACCTCCTCGTGGACCGTAGATATACGAGAAGGATATGGAACATGCATGCTCGCAAACTGGATGTGCAAGAACACATGAAGCCGACCAGCTAGATTCCCGCTACAGTCCATACCTGGTGTGCAGGAAAGGTGTTTGCAGGCTGCTACTACTAATGACATGAGAGATATAAAAGGAGAGAAACAATAGAGTGTGTGTTTGAACACATAGAGCTCTCGACAATATCCATCACTACGAAAATAAAGGAGGAGACCAAAACTTGGGCTCTAGCAGTAACAAAATGCCTTGCACATATCAATCCTTAGTTTTTTTAGAAAATATTTTCCCCTTCCTTTTCCTTTTGTAAATCTCTTGTTCCTATACAGTTTTTTCCTCCAGTATATTCAATGAAATTGGCGCACCTGAATGCTGATTCGTTAAAAAAAAAGGAAGCTTGGCTATGTGGTTCAGCCGTTGTGTACGTGCGTCCTAGCGCAACAGATACTACCAGCATATCACGTGGCAGGTGGCACGAGAAGTTGCGAGTTCGCGAATGCGTGTACATGCAGTAGGCCAGTAGGAAGAAGAGAGACGGTACAGATCGATCAAGATGTACAGAAACCAAGTACGAAAAGTTAGTATTTTTTGAATTGATGAATCATATATATATTTCAACCAAAACTCACAAGTTTGGACTTATAGATCGATGTACATACGAACTCTACAAATTGAAGCCATCATGCATTGCATCATTGCATGGTTGTGCTTTTACAGACTTTTTTTTACATAAGCTTTTACAGACTCATGTTCTTCCTATAGATACATTGGCTATGGATTCTCGAAGAAGTACTCTTGGAAGAGAGCAAAGCGAGGACATGCGATTTGACTGTACATGTCGCACACGCAGCCCATCAAGTCGATGGCCTTGTACCCTGTCAGCTCCGCGAGATCCTGGCTCCATGGCTCATGCCCCAGCACGTCCAGCCTCGCCAGGAAGATCGACGACGCCGCCACAATGGACGGCAGGTAGCGGTGGAACCCGTACGTCAGCAGCGACCCGTCGGCGAACCGATGCGCCGCCTCCTTCAACAGCTCCTCTTCTTCTCCGTCGCCGTAGTACCTGGTGAAGTGCTCCACGAACGTGTACGCCGTCGGGCCGCCAAGGTTGAAGCCCAGCGCGGCGAGCATCTCGGTCTCCATGATCGACACCATCTTGTGCCTCGTCTCGCTGGTGTAGCCGCACCGGGCGGCGACCATGCTGGCGTCGATCTTCCTCAGGGTGTACTGGTCCTCGTACTTGGCCGCCAGGAACACGGCCGTGGCCCCGACGAGGCGGAGCTGCAGCGCGTCGTCCGACTCGGGCGTCACCGACAGGTAGCGGTCCAGGAAGTAGGCGGCGCGCTGGAGCGTGCCGTCGGCGAGCTCGTGGAACTGGCTGAACTCGTCCATGAAAGCGATCATCGAGGCGCGCACCAGCGCGGTCATCCGCCCGCCCTGTGTCGTCTCCAAGAAGTACGGCGAGGGCCGCTCCGCAGGGTTCGTCTCCATGGCACGTAGGGTGGCCTCGATTTCGTCGTCGTAGGGCGCACACAGCTGCGGCCGTGTCGTCGTCGCTGAGTTGCTGGTGACCACCGGCTGATCGGCGCGCTCTGGCAGCAGCGGTGCGACCTTGATCTTCTTCTTGGGTGGCTCAGGGTGATCGCCGCCTTCTGGCAGCGGCAAGGGCTCTTGGACGACGGCGCCGGTGAGCGGTGGAAGATCACCGTAGACGGGGAGGAGGCTGCCGTAGGTGTGAGGGGTACGGGGCGAATCCGGTGGCGCCGGTGCGAGTGGAGCTGCCGGTGGCGGTGCAAGCGGAGGAAGCGCGCCGATGGCGCGGAGGAAGGTGTCGGTATCCACCATCTGCGGAGTGGCTCCGCCGGAGAAAGGATGGAACAATGGGAGAGCTGTTTGATCTGCAAGAAGTTCGGCGAGGCAGGGATGATCCAAGATCGCGTCCTCCATGTAGGGATCCAAGATCAAATCCCCCATGGTCTCGCCGGAAGTGAGATCGATGGAGAGCGAGAGGAGACAGGAGGCGGTGGCGGGAAGAAAGTTGGACGCTCGTGGTGGTGGCGGGAGGAAGGAAGAAGGATGGTGTCGCGCTCTCGCCTTTTAACCTGCCTGACACGATCCGACTCTGATCAGGCTGCGCACGCGTGAAGGAATTCATCAAAATGTAGAGCGCGCGCGGTTTTCCGAATCAGGATCGAATTAACGATGTTGATTAGAGGTAAAGCCCGTGTGTTTGGACTTTGGAGTCGTTAATTTAGCTTGCGCCGTACGCGCGTATATAGGAGTAAAACCGTAATTAGGCTTCTCTTAGTTCTCTCACCTGTGTTTCTTTCCATTTTTTTCTTTTTCCTTTTTGCACCCTGACTCGATCTCTGTCATGAATAGATTAATTAATGTATAGCTTAATTCACCGATCATAGGATATTACATACACTAATACACACCGTTACACAGAAAATAGTCCACTAGTACAAAAATTCTTTAAATCCACTAGAGTCTGGAACAGAGGATTACGCATGGGAGATGATATATCAAGTTTTTTTTTTAAAAAAAAGATGATATATCATACTATTATGATATTATCCATTCATGCACATTGCTAGAGAAGTTCCGGTAGACACTGAGCATTTACGAATTAACCACTAGTATCACCCGATCAAAATCTTCAGGTTCTAGAGCAAACACAATAGAGAGGTGCGTGAAGCGAATTCAGTTAAATCTCATGCAAAATGTAAGCGTAGTACGTGCTCAGGATTTGGAACTTGGAACTACTTCTATGGTACTAATGACCACTCCTAGCTAGCTCTCGAGTGGCTGCAAAAGGATTCAAATGTAACAACTAACAAGAGGGAGGATTGAAACTTTTGAAAATGATTCTGCGAATTGATTTGAAAAATTTGAGATCAAAATAGTCGTTAGTGATTGGTTGGTTCTAGCACTCTTGAAGTAATTCTTTTTTTGAGGAGAACGACGGCAGGAGATCTGTCGGAATTTAACATTAGAAGAGAAAAAAAATACAAAGTAGCACATAGGTTCAGAGGTTACAAGCCAATGAATGGAAAGAGAATTACAGCTGCAGGAAAAGCTAAAAAATTCATGGGGGTTTAAAGGCCAAGCAGCGCATATCAATAGCTTGCTTGATAAAATAAGCTACTTCAATATCTGAACAAGAAGAGTTTTGGAAAATTCTTCTATTTCTTTCCAACCAAATATTCCACCAAGTAGTTAGAAGAGTTCCCCTGACTAGCTGCACATCCTTCTTAGAGCCTACAAATTTGGTTCCAGACCACCATGTTGACACATCCAGGACAGGATTTATTCCGACCGAAGACAAGTTTTGGAATTGACAAATTAGGGTCCACACTTGTCTGACAAACACACAGTCACTGAACAAATGATTTGTATCTTCAAAGGCACAACCACAAAGGCAACATATCCAATTGCAAGGCCAATGCCTGCGGAGCAGATTTTGGGCAGTCAAAGTTTTTTTATGGAGAACTAGCCAACCAAAGAATTTTTTTTTGGTTCAGTCGGGGATTTCCAAAGAGAATCAAACTCATTGGTGGCAAATGAGCATTCAAACTGGAAAAGGTAAGCACTCTTTGTTGTGTAGACGCCAGACTCGGTCCAATTCCAGGTGATGTCGTCAGGATCCTGGGAAAGCGAAACCAATTGGAGTAATCCACCAAGCTGTACCAAATCATGAATTTGTTCCACGGAAGAGAATTGTCTGAAGGAAGTGAGCCATCTATTATCTCGCATTTCCATCTGAACTGTTCTTTGCTTTCTCTTTGCCAGGCTAAAACAACTGGGCACAATATCTTTTAAACAACGGTTTTGGATCCAATTATCATGCCAGAAGCTAGTTTTTGCTTCGTCACCAATCGTTATTATCGTTGCCGCTTGAAAGAGTCTTGTGTCCATCTCATCGCAAGGCACATTCATGCCTACCCAGGGTTTATCAACTTCTTTCCACTTGAACCAGAGCCAGCGGAGTCGGAGTGCTCTAGAGAACTTGTCCAGATCCGGTAGGCCTAACCCTCTCAAGCTTTTCGGTTTGCAAACAGTCTGCCAATTGACTAGACTATCACTTGGATTTGAATGATCAGGGTCTTCGCCCTTCCACAGAAAAGATCTTCTGAAACAGTCGATTCTTTTGAAGACCCATTTTGGCGCATGAATGACTGTAAGATGATGCATCGGCATAGCACTCAGAACCGAGTTAACTAGGGTTTGACGACCTGCAGAGGTAAAGAAGCGACCTTTCCAAGCTGGAAGTCTGCCCCGATCTTGTCTATAAGAGGAAGGAAATCAATTTTCCTTAATTTCCTGAAGTGGAGCGGGAGGCCTAGGTAGCGGCAAGGGAAATTCTTGATCTGCCCTGGCCAGCCGGCAAGAAGCTGTTGCAAGTCGATTCCATTGCAACTGATGGGGAAAATCTCAGTTTTGTTGATGTTAGAATGTAAACCAGAAATTTGTGGAAAACACGAAAGGATGTGAGAAAGAGCATTCAAGTCATCGGGATTTGGGAGAGCAAAAACTGCGACATCATCCGCGTAGAGAGAACATCTGAATCTGCCACTTCTCATGCCAATCGGGGCTAACACATTGGCACTCTCCGCTGCTTTAATGATCCGGTGAAAAGGCTCCATAGCTAAAATAAACAGCATCGGGGACAGGGGATCTCCCTGACGGAGTCCCCTAGCATGATTAATTCTCATCCCTAGGGAACCATTTAGGAGCACTTGGGACGAGGAGGTGGAAAACAGATTAGAGATCCAACTTAACCAACGATGCCCAAAGCTGAAATGACGAAGGACCTCCAGGAGATATGGCCAATTCACAGTGTCGAACGCCTTTGCTATGTCTATCTTAATGAATAGACTCTGTTTTTTTGATCTATGAAGCATCTGCACCATGTTTTGGACGTACAGAAAATTGTCATGAATCGCCCTTTTATGAACAAAAGCACTTTGATTTTGTGAGATCATTTCATTTAGTTGAGGAGCAAGTCTATTTGCTAGAATTTTGGTGATAATCTTGGCGAAGCTATGCATGAGGCTAATGGGACGGAAGTTGTCACACCCCAATCTGATACCGCCGTACTACGGCACCTGACAGGAGCGTGTCGTAGGGAAAACGGCGCGAACCGCTTCCTACGAAACCGCGATCTCGGTACCAGTCCCAGGACATAGTGCTGGTACCCACGGTGACAAATATGAATCATAGCAATCCTTAAAATAAATAGAGGACTTATTTACCTTAACTTAGGTTGCAGCTCAGACAGCCCGAGAGTACAACCGACGACGCGGACGAGGAAACACCAACAGCAGCAGCAGCGGAACCAACGGTCTAACACCCAACACCACAGGCGACGGCTGGGAACCAGGACGAAACCCTAATCTTCTCTTCACTTTATCTTCTCTTCAGGGCGGAGGAACTATATATATATTTATATAGAGCAAGGGTAAGTACTTTCGTACTCAGCAAGTCACGGGAACTTAGGTGTTTAATGCAAGCTTGGAAGGGAGGCAAGGTTGTTTTGCAAATCTTTTATTTGAAGACATTTTGAAATCACTAAGTGATTTATTTCTTTCTAAGTTTGGGCCGAAAAGAGACTTGCGTCTCGATTCGACTTTAAGAGATGTTTTTCAACAGCTCATTTAGTAATGTACCGACCTCCCGGGTCAGATCATTACTTCTCGGCTCCCAGAGCCATTCCACTTGATTAATCGGCTCCCAGAGCCTTTTTCATTTTCTCGGACTCCCAGAGTCCAGCTGCCCAGCAGCACAACAATCCGCTTCCACTCGGGAAGCCTAGTCTATGATACCCGCAGACATCCCGAATCACACAGATTCGTTTCCGACCACTCAGGTCGTCCATCTGCCACATAGGCTGATTCTGGTTACGATTCCCACACCACAACAACTTTTCACAAAGCACAGGCAAACAAAACTACGCAACGGGAACCACCTTACATCCGCCCATGACCGTGGGCACGGCTGTTCGAACAGTTAGTTAACCTCTGCAGAGGGGTACACTTTACCCACAAGATACGAACTTATTCCGAACACCCGTCGGTATCGGAGGTTCGCAACAAAGCCTTTCCCGAGCCGACCCAGGGTTACCTCATGCCACATAGAAGGATCAAATCCTCACATAAACATAGGCCATTTTAGGCGTTCACAAATCCAACTCCAACCACCTTGATCGGTAAGTGAGCAAGCTTCTCGTCCTTGCCTTACCAGGAACCCGGTTTGTCCGACCCCGCCCCGGCGTTCCCAACTATTGGCATGCGAGGTTTCCCTGAACCGACTAGTTACTTAGCCAGGGTGTCCCATTCCACCTTGTGGTTGCACTTTGATTATGTTCGATGAGTTTCCCACAGGAATCGGTCCTTATATGCGAATACGGGACAGTGCCACATAGGCACAACCCCCGCATCGCGAGTTTTCACAATTCATTTTATTTTCAAACACACCGACACCACATGTCGGGTTTTGAAGGCTTCACAAACCCATTTCCCAAGTTTTCGACAAACAACGGTGTATGTGGGATATTTGGTATACGCGCTCAGAGAGCACGAATACCGAGGTACCACAAGGGTGGAGCGACAAGGAATCAGGGTAGTACGACCTACGGAAATTAGTGCGGCTACTGGGTAGGTCCGTCGGTTTGGCACGCAAACCGAGGCCAAGCAAGTTAAGTATGTGATTCTAATAATGCAAGTTGCAAACAAGATAATAATGACTTTTCAATTATAGGGGCAATTGATCAAAGGGTGACTTGCCTTGCTCAAGGTCTTCACGAAGCTTCACGAATCTTCGAGAAAACCCGCGATCGACGAAAATCCGATAACCGCAACTATACGCAAACAATCGAAAACCTAAACAAAAGACCAAAAGAAAGATCCTATTTAGACTAATTAGTAGTGCCATTAAATAGATCTCAATTTTACGGAATTACTGGAAGTTGA